CACCTTGAGGTGGCTCGGCCAAAGCCGATCCACCTTGAGGTGGCTCGGCTTTGGCCGAGCCCCCGCGGGCGGTGTTTTCCGACTTTTTCGAGTCGTTTTCCGTTGTCTCGTTTGTCCGTGTTTTGGTTGACTTGAGACTCTGATTGGTTGATCTGATTTGGCAGTAAGTTGGATTCCTGATTTGGCAGTAAATCCGCTTCTGAGTTCGAGTCCGAAATTGATCTTGATTCGATCGTGATTCGTCCGAGTCCGCTCTCGGTTGGATGACTCGTTGATTCCTCAACTCATTAGCTTGATTCTGCACGCGGGTGGATTCATTCCGTCGCTTCCGTGCGATTTGTCGATCTCGTCGCCTCGTTGGCTCGTCGGTTTGTGCCGAGCTATGCTAGGGGACCTATAAGCAATTTTATATGCCTACACCACTGTCTCAAAACATGCTAAAAAGTGGGAAGATGAAGACCATAAGGGCTGAAATGAATGTAGTGTCTGAATACACTATCTTCGTATGCCTTCCAGTGCATTTGCCCCCCATATGCTACACTAAAGTGTGCATGAATTCATAGTAGACAGTAAAACTGGAAGTGGGCCGCAACTCAGATGTGGACTTTGTGATTTGTCTATAAAGAAAAACCACATGACATAAATAGTTTAAAATAATCTGTAAATATAACAATTATGCTATAAACTTGACAAAGAAACTGTAAACTTAACAACAAATCCATAATCTTCACAACCAAAGCCTATCCTCAACAACCAATCAATAACCTTAACAATAAAAACATAACCCTTACAAGTTAATAGTAACGTTCACAACGAATAGCGACAAGTAAACAATAACATCCACAACTAACAGACACACGTCAACAGTAACCTTCACAACTAAGAGCATTATGTAAACAGTAACAACTATCACTTAACCTTAACAACTAACATGCCACATGTCACAACTAAACAATAACCTTCACAACAGATCAATAACCTTAACAACTAATGTATAACCTTAACAATAAAAGCATAACCCTTACAAGTTAACAATAATATTCACAACGAATAGCCACAAGTAAACAGTAACGTCCACAACTAACAGACACACGTCAACAGTAACCTTCACAACTAAGAGCATTATGTAAACAGTAACAACTATCACTTAACCTTAACAACTAACATACAGTAACCTTCACAACTAAGAGCATTATGTAAACAGTAACAACTATCACTTAACCTTAACAACTAACATGCCACATGTCACAACTAAACAATAACCTTCACAACAGATCAATAACCTTAACAACTAATGTATAACCTTAACAATAAAAGCATAACTCTTACAAGTTAATAATAACATTCATAACTAATAGCCACAAGTAAACAGTAACCTCCACAACTAACAAACACCCGTCAACAGTAATTTTCATAACTAACAGCCGCATGTAAACAGTAACATTCACAACAGACTCATAATCTTAACAACTAACACTTAACCTTAACAACTAACAAGCCACATATCATAACTAAACAGTAACCTTTACAACAGATTAATACCTTAACAACTAATGCATAACATTAACAATTAATAAATTTCCTTGACAACTACAAACTAACCTTCATAACTTAACAGTATCCTTCACAATTAACACATCATACAACATGATAAATAACATAAAAATTACGGTAAAAAAATTATTTTTTTGCTGTCGTATGCTTCTCTTTAGCTCCTCTATGTAGATACATGGGCACTCTAGAGACGTCATCGGTGTCAGTGGTGCCGGTGCTACCCTCTAGATCTATATGCTGGTCTGTCTTTTAGGGTTAAGCTGGACTTCTGGGATGAGAATGGCTGGCTGTAATGTCCTCTAGAACATCAGCAATTGATGTGCCAGCTTCAGACCACTCTGCTATGGTTTGAGGTCTTTTTGAGACGACGTACTATGACGCGTCGTCGTCTTCGCTAAATTCGACGGGGACGACTGCTTTGGGAGTTGTCTCGCCGACCATTTTTTTGATTAATCTCTGGAGTGAGTTGATTTAAGGCTAGGGCTTTGCAATGGAGAAAATGCTTTGGAGTTGGTTCGCTTGGACAAAAGAGAGATGAGTTGGCACGATCAACGAGGAATAGTTCAAATAAATAGGAGGCGGTTAAATCAAAGGGCATTTTGACCAATTTTTTTTGTTTTTGCACGTTAGGTCACGTGGGTAGGGGTTTTGGGGTCTGTGGGAATTTCTGACTGTTTCTGGGGGTCTTTGGGAACGTTGACAAAGTCTTGGGGAGCGGAACACTTGAAATGCTTTTGGGGTCTATATGCAATTTTCCCTAATGCAAATCACAATAAACAAAGTGCTACCCTTACACCTCTTTCTCTTAACTGCACTCCGAATCTCAAACACTCTACGTAACTCCCAAAAGATTCCCACCCCAATCACGTAAGAATATCATCACTTCACTGCTCGTGCGGTCACCACACTCTGCTTCAAGTGCCGGGCTATTTTTTTCACCTCCGTCACTCTCCTCTCATTTTCCAAAACCCTAGCTTTTTCTGCAGTCAACGGTGATGGCGGCAGTGGCGAAGATTGGGGCGGTGAAGGATCCGAAGGTTCAGATTCACGGGTACGGATTTCAAGGGCTGAGATCGGGCGGTTCAATCCCGATACCGAGGTCTGTTAGGGCATCGCCGGCGCCGGCGTCGTCTGCTTCCTCCTCCGTTATAACGGCCGTTGCTACTGTAAGATTGTCTCATTTTGATCAGTAAAGTTGAGTCATTTTTTGATTAAAAATTATTCCCCCCTTTTTGTTGGTATGTGATTGTTTTGGGTATTTACTACAAAGAGAGAACTTAAGCATGTATATAGATTTGGAGTCTAAATAGTAGACACAGGTGATAAATAAGAGAATACTAAAGATTCGAGCCATAGAATTGAGAATTCTGACACAAGGAACTATTAGATTGAATCAAATGATTTTAGCGTATCCAGAATAATACCAATCCAACCCATTTCATGAATAAAATGTGACCAATTAACCAACCAACAAAACTACTTGTTACAAATAACATCTTGTTGTTGCATCGAAACATAGAAATGTTGACTAATCTGGCTAACGTTGAACTTGGTAAAATGAAATGGTTGAATAATTGAAAAATTAGATTATTCAGGAATACACATTGAATGCTGAGATTACGCATTGAATTTCTGGTAGTAGATCCATAATCAAAAAAGTTTTTGTGATTGTTCCAGAAGAAATGAAACAAAAGATACGGTAGAACTAGGACAGTTATTGTATGAGGTCTACCCAATGCTAGATGCAGAGGCGCATAATAGATCGATATGAACATCATGAGCTGCCCCGTAATAAAACCAGTTGTTGCCGATACCTCCTTCTCGGTTCCTTCTTCCATAACCCGAGCTCGGAGAAGGAAGAGATAAGAGGGCCCTATGGAGAATGTGGTCAGAAATCCATAATAGAGTCCGACCACAACGACCGAATTTATTATCTTCATGCATAAGGATAATAGATTAGACGACTTAGATGAAAAAACGGAATCTCAAAACACCTTTTTGGTGTTTTGAGAAAAGTGTTTAATTTTTGGATTTTGTAAAGGGTCAAGTCAAAAAAACGCCCCGGTTGCCAAACGCGTTTCATTGTTTTTTTTAAAAAAAAAACGAAAACAGCAAAAACACCATGGTATCCAAACGCTCCCTGAAAAATTAGATTATTCAGGAATACACATTGAATGCTGAGATTACGCATTGAATTTCTGATAGTAGATCCATAAAAAAAAAAGTTTTTGTGAACTTATTTTGTGTAGTTAGGAAAACAAGATAATGCGAAGAATGAACTTGGGACACCAGCTACTGTGTTTGGAATTGCATGTTGCTGAAAATCAATTGGGTTTGTAGCTATATGCAACCAAATACAGTATGGTGATGACTTGCCATTTTGTTAATACTAGAAGAGAAAGGATCTATTATCTATATATGGTTTGTTGATATAAAAAAGCTTATGATGAGTATAGAGGAAGATAATGTGGTGGGTTTTAGGGGGGAAAAGCATATGGTAGATATATTGACGCGATTAAAAATATGCATCGTAGAGTAACACTTAGAGCGGTAACAAATGAAGGAGAGATAAAACAGTTTCTTATCATTGTAGGCTTACATTAAGGATTATTATTTTAAAGGCAGCATCTTTTTGCAGTAAGTATGTACCATCTTACTGGACATGTTCACAGCAAAGTCCAACAATGCAATTTATTTGTTGATGATATAATATTAGTTGATGAGACTAGAAATAGATAATTCCAAAGAAGAAATGTGGATAAAATCTCTGGAATCTAAAGGATTTAGAAGTAGCAGAACACAAAAGAGTGTAATTTTACTAAAACTTGTGTAATTTTACTAAAACCTGTTAGTGGAATTGAAATACCTATGAGTCAAGAACTGAATGGAAGAATGTTACGGTGAACATGTGAAGGATAAATTGGGGAAATTGAATGAGATTGCTTGGTCTTGTATAATGGAGGTCACTATGTGCATCTAGGAAAAATGTTAAGATTATAGTAATGAGTCAAGAAGGATTCAAATTATAACTAAGAGAACATGTTTTGGAAATACAGAAGAAATTTATTATAGTTAATTTATCGGAGGATATAACCCTTAACAGAACTGAATGGAAAAATAGGACTTTGAGTTTTCCCCCCCTGATGTATGATATGCCTTTTTCTCTTATCTCTCAAGGGTTCCTTGATTCCTGCTTACTGTTATCGTCAAATGTTATGATGGAAGCAATGTTATGATGGAAGCGTAGGGGTTCTTGAATTATTTTTATTGCTACTACTATTGCTTCTGCTGCTGCTACTACTATTACTATTATTATTATTTATTATAAAATTCAAATACGAATATTGTACTATTGAATTCCAATCCAATTCGAACCTCCTCTCTATCAATCTTTTTTTCTCCTTCTGTGTGTGTCGGAATGCATATGGTTTTGTCAATATGATATTACAGTGATAGATTTTTATTTCTATTGCTTCTTTGCTACACTACTTTTGTTGTGGATGCAAGATCTTTTATTTGAACAGAATGAACTTTTTGCCATTATTCAAAGTGAAAAGATCAACATAAATTAGAACTTACAATATTAGCTAATCAAAAGAATATCTTAAATTAGAACATTCCTAAAAGAATGAACAACAAGGCCAAGGTGATCTTGTATCCAATCTACGAAAACAAAACATAGAAAGATGTTGAAGAAGATTACAGGTGAGCAGACATTGAAAAAGGTCAAAAGAAAATCAATTCAAAAGCGAGAAAGAATAACTGAATTTCTTCCTATTTACTTTTTTAATTAAGATGAGATGATGCTTTGAATCAAAGATTGATCAATAAAACCATGGTATAATTCCCTATCGAGTTTGTATAACAGCTATGGGAAGAGAGTTTATCATCTCTCGCTTTAAACAGGAACTTTCTAGGTTGAGAAATTACCATTGCCTTGCTCCTTATTCAGACGATTTAAATCACGAAAGTGGCGAATAAGATAGGTTTAGAAGGCATAAACTGGGTGCTTCTTTGACCATAACAAAATGATCAAATATTAAGCAAATGCAAGGCATTAATAGACCCCGTGATTGATGAAGCCTTTTCACTTAACCTATATTTGGTGGATTGGAGATGGTTAGTGATATTGGATACATGAAACTAAGAATAAAATGCAGTAAATATTAAGAACATCTTGATGTATAATAATAAAACAAACCAACATCATGAGTTCTTGGAGTGAAAATGTAGGATCACGTGATCCAAGTGGTTTCTAGATTGATCAGATCATCCGACTTTCCGATGAAAACGAGCTGCAGAAGATGATGGTTCACGTGCCTTTATGCAGAAGGATTGATCACTTCTCTATCTCAAATATTAAGTTGGTGGGATACATTAGAATCTTGTTAGATACTTGTTGTGAGTTTGATTGCTCTTCTATCACAAAATGATCTTTGCATATACCCCTTTTCCCTTCATATACTCAAATTTCTGGAATCATCAGTTGCAGATAGATACCACATATGTTCTGCAGGTAGTGGCTATTTATCACCGGCTCATTAATACCTCTTGTTTCCTCTCTTTTTTCAGCCTGAGGTCAAAAGAAGTGCAGTTGAATTGATTAAAGAAAAAAGCAATTTTCTTAGATATCCACTGAATGAGGAATTGGTAACAGAGGCGCCAAATATAAATGAGTCCGCCATCCAACTGATAAAGTTTCATGGTAGTTATCAGCAGTACAACAGAGAAGAACGTCGTACAAAATCTTATTCGTTTATGCTTCGAACCAAGAATCCATGTGGGAAAGTCCCGAACAAGCTCTACTTGGCTATGGATGACCTTGCCGATAAGTTTGGCATTGGCACTTTACGATTAACAACTAGGCAAACATTTCAGCTCCATGGTGTCCTGAAGAAGAATCTTAAAACCGTGATGAGTACTATTATTCAAAACATGGGTTCAACTCTTGGTGCATGTGGTGATCTTAATAGGAACGTTCTTGCTCCTGCTGCCCCCTACACCAGCAAAGAGTATGTTTTTGCTCAGGAAACTGCAGAGAATATTGCTTCCCTTCTTACACCTCAATCCGGTGCTTACTATGATTTGTGGGTAGATGGTGAGAAAGTCATGTCAGCTGAGCCGCCTGAAGTGGTGAAGGCTCGTAATGACAATTCTCATGGGACAAACTTTCCTGATTCTGCAGAGCCAATTTATGGAACTCAGTTTTTACCTCGGAAGTTCAAAATTGCAGTTACCGTGCCTACAGACAACTCTGTTGACATCTTGACTAATGACATTGGTGTTGTTGTAGTTTCTGATAGTGATGGAGAGCCTCAGGGTTTTAACATATACGTAAGAGACTTTCTTTTTTGTTTGTATTAGCATGTATTTTTAATCTCTTTTTCATTTTCAGCATATGTTCTTTTGGAAAAATTTCAACTTTAGGTGGGTGGTGGCATGGGAAGAACGCACAGGGTGAACGCCACTTTCCCCCGTTTGGGAGAGCCACTGGGTTATGTTCCCAAAGAAGACATATTGTATGCTATTAAAGCAATTGTTTGTACACAAAGAGATAATGGAAGAAGGGATGATCGGAGATATAGTCGAATGAAGTACTTGATTAATGAATGGGGAATTGATAAGTTTCGCAGTGTTGTTGAGCAATACTATGGAAAGAAGTTTGAGGCATTCCGTAAATTACCTGAGTGGGAATTTAGAAGCTATCTTGGTTGGCATAAACAGGTTTGGCTAAAACAATACTCATAAGATATGGAAATAATTTTCTCTTGTTGGTGCATTATTTGCACCTGGTATCTTTCTGTTTCCCTACCTTTTCGTTTACTACTAAACCAAACTCCTGCTTCTTTGGATTTAGAAATGCTAGTATGTGTTTTCAAATGTTACAAAATTAATTATAGTGTCATTCTATCACTGATTTTATCTTTCACATGAATTAAAATACAGTTGAATGTACTTCTCACTTTTCAGTAATCATATTTTAAAGTTATTGCATTTTTCTTACAGGACAATGAAACCTTGTTTTGTGGTGTGCATGTTGATAATGGTCGCATTGGAGGTCAAAAGAAGAAAACATTGAGAGAAATAATTGAGAATTATAACCTTAGTGTGCGCATTACGCCTAACCAGAACCTAATTTTGTGTGACATCCATCATTCTTGGAGAGATTCCATCACCAGAGCTCTTGATGAAGCTGGTCTTCTGGTAAAACTTGGTTCACTCTTTTGTATGACATTTCTGAAACTTACCTTACTTAAGGAATATGCTAATAAGATTGATTTAGGTCAATGGAAAAAGAAACTGATGTTGAGAGTTTTCTGATTTACTAGGTTAATATATGTATTTATTATGTCTGTACACATTATCTTTGTAATAGATTGATGCGATTAAAAATAGAGTATAACTTGGCATTTTTCTAAAGTTTAATTACAACTATATTTTTCATCATTGTACAGCAACCTAACTACGTTGACCCTCTCAATCTTACTGCAATGGCCTGTCCTGCTTTTCCGCTCTGTCCATTAGCAATTACAGAAGCTGAAAGAGGAATACCTGATATTCTCAAGCGCGTTCGAGCTGTTTTTGATAAGGTACTTACGTCAATACTCGAATTTATTTGTGTAAGGAATTCCGCTAGAAGAAAAATTAGTTTTGTTTTTTAACCTATGAAGCCATAATTATTTCAGATAGGGATCAAAGATAATGAATCTGTGGTGGTAAGAGTAACTGGTTGCCCTAATGGCTGTGCCAGACCGTACATGGCTGAGCTGGGATTTGTTGGGGATGGCCCAAATAGCTACCAGGTATTTAGGGTGTATCTCTTTGTTCTCTTCTCTATATTAAGGTCACCATTGTGGAATGATAATGAATATGGTGGATGCAGCTTAACCTCCATAATTAACATGAGTTAATTAGCTGAGAAGGTGCAATGATGTTCCTCATAAAGCACAAGTTAAAGAAACTAACTACATTACTCTTGTCACTTTTTTATATACACAGATTTGGCTTGGGGGGACACCTAATCAGACTACACTGGCAGAGTGCTTTATGAATAAGGTGAAGATCCAAACTCTGGAGAAGGTTCTAGAGCCACTCTTCTACAGTTGGAAAATGAATCGCCAGCAGGGTGAATCATTTGGACAGTTCACAATCCGAATAGTGAGTATTATACAATATTTTGCGGTCATCATGTGCTACTACCCTCTTTTCACATTCTATTATGATAGCACTACATAATTTGTTGTGATAATAGACATTGGAAGATATTAAAATTATAATGTCGACCTGCATTGCGTACTGATTACTGCTAAATCTAAAATCTTTTTGGTTTTTTCCGTAAATGAAGCTTAGTTGCGACTTTCAAAAGGTTCACAATTCCGTTAAATTGTCCAGTTGTTGTTTTGAATCAATAATATTAGTACATAAAGTTCAGTAAACGAGATACACTTAGGCTACTTCTGAAGGATTTTTACTCAACTCTTTTTGTTGAAATTTAGTGTTTGTCAACTTCTACAAACGACTCTATTAAAGTTATACATTTTAAATTTCTCTACATTATCAAAAATGTCTAAAAATCAAAGCCCAAGTTTCTTAAATTTTGGTTTGAGTTAGGTAAAATTGTAGGATGCCTGAGACAAAATAAAAATTGGTCTATGAACGTTTCTAATTGTTTATATCATGGTTAAAAGTTCGGATAGCATGCTTTACTAAAATCTAGGATTAAAACCATTTCCAGCTGTCATTTCTTATAGCTTTTATGCGTGAATAGAAAAATAAAATATTTAAAATTTTATTTTTTTCTTCTTAGAGATTTTTCATTTAGTTGGCGTTCCAGCATCCAATTCCAACAGGACTAGTTTAGCTCTAAATTCTTTAAAAGAATTAAGTTTCTCTCCAGGCAAGACAAATTTAACTATACATGGTCAAATGTATGCTTGCTTGTAAATGAGTCAAAACACATATATATATATATATAAATATTATCTATATTAGTTATAGATATCGATATAGATATTGGTATTCTTCGGTACCAAGCAAAAATTTGTACTCGTAGTATTGTCACATCCCCATCCAATCCATCCATGGATGTTCCATTTGAAATTGAGGTGGAGGGATGTGAACCTCACTACCGAGCACAACTTTTTGTGCTGGTACCAGCATACCCATATTTCAATATTATATATTATATATATTTTATATATATATTAACTATATATAATATATATTTAGCTATGTGGATTGGCATTATATGAACTGCTGTATTCTTTGTTTTTAATAACGGCAGTATGTCACACTTTTCATTTATGCCATTTTCGTAAAGATTTATCAACTCGATTAAATTGAGTAAATTTGGATGCTATCTACTGCAGGGCTTCAGTAAGCTGCAAGAGATGGTAGAGAAGTGGGATGGTCATGTAGAGACACCATCACAAGTATGAAGCTATTGAGTGATTTCCTCCCAGTTTTATTGACTGTCAGCAGAAAGGCCTTTTGTTACCTAATGTTGGTTATCAAAACGGAGCGCTTCAGTTAATATCATTTTGTCTCTTGATCTATGATCTATGTTGTACGCTAGTTTCATGGATTGGAAAAAACTATATGAGTCCATTGTTGAAAATTTAAATACTCGACTCTAGTATCAGGGTTTTATTTGCATCAGCTGGTGCATTTTCTTTCCTTAACAAATAAAAAGAGCGAAAACTATTTACGGGTTTCTAATGCTCAGAGTTGGCTATCCGCTTTATATCTATGTTGATTTTTTCTTGGTAATGAATGAAAGATTTGCAAGCTCTTGGTTCATTGGATTGTACGACTCTTTGGTGTGTCTCAATCCTGAGGGATGTCCCAGAGGATGAATCTGTTGCATGTTGAGCAAAGGAATTAAGAAACACATGTATCTTCTGAGATGAAAGTTACATCTCGTTTACTTGCGTCCAAGATTCCTCTGGTTGGAATGAAAGAGAGTGCATGTGGGCTTGTGGATCGATGCGAGGAATCATTCCGAAAACGAGTAACCGGTCAAGCTAATGTTTGTTGATTTTATTTGCAACTGGCAGGGCATTTTTGTACAGGTTGCTTTTCCTACGTTTTATGTGCGATAACGAAAGAAGGAATCATGAAATATTTTATAGATGTATAATTGACGCTTGTTTTGGTTTGACCCCATGTGTCTAGTTCCTAAATTGCCGAAAACCCTCCGCATCTAGAATTAAATATCAAATGTTGGTTTTATGACTCTACGAGTATAATAATAGAGATTAATTAGGTGTTGCATGTTGATGATGTAATAATTATGACCCCCCAAATACTTTTCCAAATCTAATGATGCCTGCAGATATTTCGTTGGGCTGGGCTGAGTCCTAATAGGAATCGCACGGGAGCAATGATTTGAAGGGGGGCAAAGAGCCACCCCTATCATTCAATTGGCCCACACGGTTCATTTTGTTTCTTCTCCAATTTTCCGTTCACAACATAATTTGCCGTTCGCATGGTTGTCTTTTTATTTCAAATCTACTTTAGAAATTTGTGATCATTACTAGAGTTCGAATTTGAATTGCTTTACTATCACATCAAAGTGTCATGTTACTGCAACAAAATTTCAAAGTTATAGTAAATATTGAGGAATATAATTTTATATTTTCCAAAAGCACATTATATTAATACATGAAAATCTACGTAATCTCTTATATGATCCCAGATTATGCAAAGCATCATCATAACGGTTTATTTAGTTCTTGTTGACAGCTTGTGTTTCACAATAATGAAATGTTTAATTCATGGATCGTTATTTGAGTTATAGTCAGATTGAATCATAGACTGTTCATCAACAAAGTACCCGATGATTAAGGTTTAAGACACGTATAAAAGTATACTATATATACTCTTCCTAATATATGCTCGCATTATAGGGTAGCTTCGATGCCGGAAGAATTACGTAGCAGCAATAATTAAAGAGCTTCTCCATGATATTCCGATAATGGGAGTCTGTCTTCTTGTTTTAAGTTTGAAAGACTGATAAAGCCGATCTTATACTCTTTTATTATGTATATACTCACTTAATGAAGACATCATTTACCTAGCATATATAAAAGCAAGAATTAATTACATTTTGGTACCCTCAAGTACAACGTAATTACACTGATGGTCCTAGAGTCTGTCTATATGAATGATCTTGAGATTGTTGATTGTAATTACATAGGTAATCTTAGAATCTAACTATAAGTTAACACTATTATTTTTTGCAGACATAGACTTCTTGTTGGATGTGTTAGGATATGTGAAGCCTAACGATCAGACCTGCCTTATACTTCAGAATGAAGAGGAACAAAGTGGAACAGAAGAAACAGGATCGACGACGACGAAGTTCAAGCAAAACGACGAAGGGCGCATTTTGACTGAGTCGCGGTCGACCACGCATGGCACGGCGGTCGACCGCCAACGTGCACAGACAAGCACATTGCTGAGGAGCAGCTTCGCGGTCGACCGCGCATGGCGCGGCGGTCGACCGCTCTATTTTGGTTTAGGATTTAATTGTTGGATTCCTAATCTATTTTGGTTTAGGATTCCTAATCTATTTTGGTAATAGGTTATTAGGATTCCTAATTTGATTTGGCTTTTGGTTTAGAATTCCTAGTATGTTTATGATTTTAGGATTTCTATATATATGAAACAATTGAAGGAGAGAATAGGAGAGAATTAGCATTGTTTTGAGCACTTTGAGAGGGAGATATTGTGAGGGAGTTGAGAGCTTTGGTTAGGGTTATATTTGAGTGATTTTGTGAGTTGTAACCCGTTATATTTCTCCTCCATATAGTGAAATCTCCCCATCCTCTCCCCGTGGACGTAGGCAATTTGTCGAACCACGTAAAAATTAATTGTACTGCTTTTGTGTGATTTGTAATAGCTTTTTAGGATCCCTCGACAGGTCAGTCCTAGAACTGATGAGAGGAAGAGTCGATATCTCACTTTGTTGAGATATTCACTTCAGATTCTTATTTTCTTGGTGAGACGGGAATTCTTATTGCCACCTGACTCTCTTGTTATGCTACCGAAGTGCTGTCGAAATTTCCGCTGCGCGTAACAAGTGGTATCAGAGCCCAGATTTCAGATCTAGGGTTTTTTTGGTGGAGGAAGATTCTTGTGTGAAGCTTGGTTCTTGGAGTTCTAGGCTTCGGTGGAGATAGCATTAGGAGTTACCGTTGGAGATTTCGCTTTCCTCGCGTGGATAGGAATTCTATTTGGAATCCAATCTTGGGTTCAGTTGGGTAATTTCTTATTCCTTTCAAAGTTTGAATCTTTCTTTGCAATTTGGAGTTATTTTGCAATGGGAGAAGTAGGTGAAAGCAGCGAATCGATGGCGAGTAGAATACAAGTTGGTTTTCAGAACACTAAGATTAGTGTGGTGAAATATGACGACAAAATCAACTTTGGTTTGTGGATGAGCGACGTACAGGATGCGCTCAATGCTCAGAATTTGGAAGAGACCATCATGGTCCACGAAAGGCCACCTAAATATGAAGAGGCGGTATGGGAGAAAATAAATAGGAACGCGTGTGGGGTGATCAGGTCCTGTTTGGAACAGGAACTGAAATATGATGTGATTGGGGTGACGTCTGCAATAAAGATGTGGGAAATTCTCAACAATAAGTATCTCACAAAGAGTGTTGAGAACAGGTTGCACTTGCTGCGAAGACTCTTCAGATTTCAGATGTCCAGAGGCACCTCACTAGCGGCTCATGTGAACAACTACACTAAGTTGTTGTCAGACTTGGCGAATGTTGATGAGAAGATATCGGATGAGTAAAAGGCGATTATTTTGTTGGGCTCCTTACCCGATGAGGAGTATGATACCTTCGTGCTCACTTTGTTGAACGGGAGATCTTCTATCAGCTATAGTGAAGTGACTAACGCTTTGACCAATTATGATTTGAGGAGGAAGGACAAGGAGACTTCCCTTGCTAGCACTTCAGGCGAGACCTTGTCGACGAGAGGTAGAAGCCCATATCCGAAATGTGGTAATAGAGGAAGGTCAAAGTCAAGAAGCCACCACCAATTAGCAAAGAACCAATGTGCATTCTGCAAGGAGCAGGGACATTGGAAGAGAGACTGCCCGAAGCTCAAGGAGAAAGAGAATGGCAAGAAAAAGGGTCCGAAGGCCAATGAGGTAAATATTGCGAAAGGCGATGATTCTGATGATTCGTGTTTTTCTCTACTGATTACTCCGAAGGTGAACCATGTGATGCATCAAATTGGATGCTTGATTCCGGTGCTACTTTTCATATGACCCCTAGGCGAGACTGGTTTGCATCTTTTGAGAAAGTCGACGGGGGCGTTGTTGTCATGGGAAATGATCAATCCTGTGGCGTTTGTGGGATAGGTATCATGCGGATTGGGATGCACGATGGAGTAGTCCGTGAGTTAAAAGAGGTGAGATTTGATCCTCAACTGAAGAAAAATCTTATCTCAGTTGGAGCTTTGGAGGCGAAGGGATTCAAAGTGACTTTCGAAAATACTGTAGCGAAAGTTACTAAGGGATCATTGGTGGTGATGAAGGGAGTCCGCAATCGGAATTTATATTATCTGAAGGGAAGCACCGAGATTGGCCAGGTTGCTTCGGCTATTTCAGAAGCGGGCATGAGCAGACTTTGGTACTATAGGTTGGGGCACACAGGTGAAAAGTCACTGCAGGCATTATGCAAGCAGGGACTATTGAAGGGAGCCAAGAGTGGGAAGATTGAGTCCTGTGAGCACTGTGTTCTTGGCAAGAAGACGAAGGTGAAGTTCGGGACTGTCATTCATCAGACGAGGGGCATCCTGGACTACGTGCACACAGACGTTTGGGGTCCCACCAAGACTGCATCACTTGGTGGTAGACATTGATTCGTTACTTTTGTAGATGACTATTCTAGGCAATATTGGGTGTACACCATGACAAAGAAGAGTGAAGTCCTAGATATATTCGTGGAGTGAAAGAAGAGATTGGAACTGCAGACTGGGAGAAAGATCAAGACGTTGCCATCCGACAACGGTGGTGAATATACTTCAGACCCCTTTCAGCAGCTATGTCGAGACGAGGGCATAGAGAGACACTTCATGGTTAGTCATACACCGTAGCAGAATGGAGTGGCAGAGAGACTAAATCGGTCTTTACTGGAGAAGATCTTTTGGGCTGAAGCACTTACATATGCGAGCCACCTCATTAATAGGCTGCCTTCATCTGCGATTGAGGGGAAAATCCCTATGGAGATGTGGTCGGGAAAGCCAGCACATGATTATGACCAGCTCAAGGTATTCGGGTGCCCTGCATATTATCATGTTAGAACTGATAAATTGGAACCTCGAGCTAGGAAGGCCATATTTGTAGGATTCAAGCGTGGTGTCAAGGGATACAAGCTTTGGGATCCAGTTGATAGAAGCTTCCCAGCTCTCATCAGGTGGAGAGCGACCCGACAGAGGAGATATCGCAGGTGGTGGAGATCGATGCAGCTCCACATTGTCCAGATGGTACAGTATCCATGCAGGTGCCGACTGAGGTGATGCCAGGTGAGCACGACGGTGACACGGAGGATACAAGTACAAATGTGCAGGATCAGGAACCGACAGCTCAGGTTCAGGATTCTATTGTGGTTCGAAGACAGAGGAGAAACATACAGATGCTAGCACGGTATGCCGACATAGTTGCGTATGCACTTCCGGTGGAGAGTATCGATGAGTTGGTGCCTACTACATTCAGAG